ACCCTGGACAAGTCACTTACTTTCTCTGAGTCTCAGTTTCTGTAGGATGGAAGTAATGATAGTGCAGCAGCAGAAAGCATTTAGCTTTATCTTGCAAGGACTCAACAGACAGCAGCTATCACTTTATCAACCACAGTTGTTCAAGAGGCAGATATTTGTAAAGAGTAGACTGGGAGACTGATCAGACACCTCTTTTTCTCTGTGCTAACCATCTCCAGTTCCTTAAACGGACCCTCTTCCCACATAGGCCTTCGTCTGCCTTATTCTAATCACTCGTGGAAGGCATTCCAGGTTGCTATCTTCCTTACACAATTGTATCTCTCGCTTGAGTCTCATTGGCATAGTGTGTACGTGTAGGGAGGGGGCGTGGGCCATCACCTCCCTGCATTCTAATCCCTGGACTTTGACATGAGGCCTGAAGTGGCATCAGGGTTTGGGGGAGCAACAACCCCCATATAACTGGATTTATTGAGCACCTAATATATAAGCCAGAAGCTGTGCCAAGATATTACATTCACTTTTTCAGACGAGGAAATTGATGTCTTTGAGATACACGTGCTATAGATAGAAGGTTGACACGGCTAAACGATGGTGGAGCTGAGATCCCATTTACAGTCAGCTTTGATCTGGAGCCACAATCTAACCTTTCATACCGTATGTCCTTCCACAAATATTAAGCTGTGTTCAACTCAGCTCTTAGGATTTCCCCCCCTTATTTGATTTTAATAAGCCAGGTCTCCCCAGTCCTGGTCCTTTGCAAATGAGTTTTTTAATGGGACTTTATATTGTGTTCCCATTCAAGTTGACCAGCCTGAATTCTCTCTCTCACCCAGCTGCAAGGCACTGGCTCATGTTATTTGGTAAGTCACCATGAAGAAGCAGTGGGGGAACAAAGCCAAGGGCACAGCCTTTCGGCAAGGCCCGAGGTAGATTGCTCTCAAGGTGTATTTCTATCAAGAAACCCTTTCCTGATAGGGATTGGGTGCAGCCTGTTACCAATCCACAAAACTGAATTAACATCCACCTCCATTCCTGTCTTGTTGACAGCGGTTTCTTGAAATACACATGGCCTTTATGCTCAATGCCTACATGGCGCAGGTCCATTCTAAGAAAGGTTGTCCCAGAAAGAATTGTGGATTGAAGGCTGAAGAGGCTATGAGAAAATATAAATATGAAAGTGTTTACGATATTTTAAAAGGAAAAAGTCCATCTTTGTTTTGAGAAGACGTTTGTGTTGAAGAAATGTCAGAATTAAAAAAGGCAGAAGACAAACAGGTCTCCAACCAGCCATCTTCCCTGAGACCTTGCTCCCTCTGTTCTAACTCCAAGGTCACACAAGGACAGGGACTCAAAGGGAGCCGCTGGCATCCCCATGTAAATCTGTGGCTTCGCCACCTTCCCCCATTGAACTGGGAATTGCTTTTCTGTCTGTCTGCTGAGCAAGGCATTGTCCTTTCTGCCTTGGTGCCTCCATTAGCACTGAGGAAAGACTAACCATGGGGATTCCAGTCCTATTTTTTTTTTTCATTAGAGCCCAAGGCTCTATCCCACCAAGTCCTGGAACATAATCTCTCAGAACTGTTGAGTCTACTTAATATTAATCCATTCATCAACCTTCTTTGCTTGGTCCCACAGAGGGTGACTTGTGCCTGTGGAGAAGAAGACCCTTTGCCTCAAATATAAACAGAAGAGAGCTTGGCATGCCAACTACCCAGGGCTGATCCTCCCAGGCCCTGCTAGGACATGGCTGAGAGGCCCCCGCAGAGCCAGGAGTGGATTCTGGGTAACAGAATGCAAAGTGATGCAGTTCCCCACCCCCGTACCCTCCCCAGGGTTTTGTGACTCCTGGCCCTGTGAGAGCTGAGGCAGCAGTTTTTGGCTTGAGGGGGGAAGAGTAGGGAGAAGAGGCAGAGGCTTTCTCTAGGCCAACCACAACTAACTTATTTGCTCTGTCCAGCAAAGCCCAGACAGTGCAATTATCTGGTTAATTTGGCCCTTAGTTGGGAGACAGGCTCCCAAAATGTGAGGCCAGCTCAGACTAAACAGTGGCTTCCGTCCTAAGCCTTTTCTTAAGTGCTAAAGGATGCGCGTGAGATTCCTAACACACCCATTGATACAGATGGGCAAAGACAGGTCATTCTGACTCCAAGACGGGTTTGGAAAGGTATGTCTTCCAGGGAAAGATGCCCAGATGATCTGCTAATTGGTTTCCTGGTTAATTCACCCCCCTGGCTTCTGTGGAGAGGCATGGCTGGAAATCAGAATGACTCTAAATTAGCCAAGGTTTTCCAATGGGATCGCAGCTCTCGTAGCCTGGCGGAGTGTCCCTGGGGCCTCTGGGTGAGCTATTCTTAGTGTAATTCCCTCTGATGCTCCTGCTCATAGACTTTTTGTACCTACGAGTTGGGCCAAAGGCTCTGCTGAGATTAAAGGGGGAAAGGAAAACATGTCTCTGGAGCTTCCACAAATAGGATGGGCAGGGCGAGCTCAGCTGGCATCTGAGCAATCAGCAGATGGTTCATGAAAAACCCAGGTTTTTGAGAGGAGATTAAGGAGCAGTGATTTAGCACCCTTGGAAACCAGCAAGTAGCCTGGAATCTGTGGAATTCTTCCGTTATTCATTCTGCAAATATTTCTTTCAATTCTAGTTTGTGCCAGGCCTGGTGCTACTTAATAGAAGGGGACCCAAACAGCTATGGTCCCAACCCTCATGCAAGGAACCCCACCCTCAATGTAGGGCTAAAGGCTTAGATAAGGGCGAGAAAGGAAAAGTTGAGTAACTGTGACAAGGAATAAACAGGTGACCTGACGTAGATCGGGGAAAGGATCAGAAAGGGAGTCTTCGGGAGAAAGGATTTTAAATACAACCCTCCTTTCTTTGCTGCTGCAGTTGGAAGAAGCATTGTCTTGGGCCACACATGAAATACACAAACACTAATGGCAAGCTGATGAACAAAAGAAAAGTTCCCCACGTCATTTCTGCGATACCCCACACCACAGATCAGCAAAACAGACTCCCCGCATCGGCATGTGGCTTGTGGGACCGCAGGTTAGACACCCATGGAAAAGGACCTCATTCGCTTTTTCAGAAAGATCACTCAAACTTTGCTGTAAGGAATACATTGGAGATGGGTTAAAAACAATGGAGCTGTGAGGCCATTGACTAAGAAGATCGGATACGAGTTGGTAGAGGTCTAGCCAAGGACCTAGGTGACAAGGGTGGAGAGAGAGAAGTGGACAGCAGGGTGGGAAGTAAGGGCTATGGAGCCGGTGGGGTCTGGTCAGAGAGTGGAGAGACAGGAAGGCATTCGGGAGCCTGTGCAGGTTTCTGGCTAAGGTGGAAGGTAGATGGCGGCCCTCCTCATCAAGAGAGAAAATTAGGGGCAGGGTAGGATGATGTGTCTTATTCTGGAGTCAATCAAAGTTGACCACTCCTGGCCATTTCGCACCCTGTCTCTCCTTGCCTTTGCTCACACCGTCTCCATTCACCCACTCTACATGCCTCCATCCCTACTTGCTGGCATCCCATCCATCCTTTGATCCATTTCCAATACCACTTCTTCCTCAAAGCCACTTCTGAACCCCTCAATTGGCTGTGGCCTCTGCTGCCTGTAGCGCTAAGCTTGGACCTCTCCTCCCTGACCTCCCACTGTGTGGATGCCCCTAAAGACTTATCTCACTCCCTTCTTAGACCAAGCTTTGTGGAACAGGCCTCTGCTTTTATATCCTGCTCTTTGCCATGGAAGGAAAATGAGCAGACATTGGATTGACTTGAAAGCCACAGGATCAAACTGAAATTCACACTGTAGGTGTTTTCACATTAGACCAACTCAGTCTGATGTTCAGAAGGCCTTTCTGTTCCTCTGACACGCCAAGCTCAGGAACTGCTGGGAGAAGAACAGTCACACCCCCTTCTAATTTTTTTTTCTTTTTAATTATGTCTCGAATTCATTTTGCAGTAGGGACCTTGTCTACCTTATTCAGCATTTGCTTTTGACAATGATGATGAAGATGATGATAAAGATGATGATGATGATGATGATTAAATGAGTAACATTTGCTGAGTGCCAGGCACTGTTCCAAGCACTATTCATGGATTAACTCATCTGATTCTCACAGCAACCCTGTGCACACAGGCTGATGCTGTGATTGTCCAAACTGTACAGACAAAGAAACTGAGCTGGAGAGAGCTTAAGTATTGTTCAACCAGTGCCACAAATTTAGTAAGGGGTAGGGTTGGGACCCAGAGTCTGGCTCCAGAGCCCAAGTTCAAAGGTGCACATCCAAGGTCAAGCACAGTCCTTGGCAGAGAGCAGGTCTTCACTGAATGAATAGGGAGAAACTTTCCACCTAGAGCCAGGAGACCACACCTCCTAGCCCTCATTCTGCCACTGGCTCCCTAGGCAGCCTTGAGCAAGTTGGTGTTTCTTTCCACATAAAATGAGGGACCTGGCTATTGATGTGAGCAGAAATAACAAGCGTTGGTATTGCCAACTCGGATCTCACTTGGGATTTTAAATAATTTAATCCCAACAATAATGGTACAAGGAAAATGAGGCTCAGAGAGCCTGCCCAACACCTAGAAAATGCGAGAGCTGGGATTCAAACCCAGTATGAGACCAAACTATGCTCTCTAGCACTGGCGGCTGCAAGGAGGTTACTCAGGGGCCACAGGGAACAGAGTGGAGCAGACACACTGTTGGGCTCCTCCCTTCATTTCCACCAGGGCAACTCTCCTTGCCTCCGTTTTGCAGAATGAAGTCCGATTTGATATTTCCTTTGAAGGAAGCTTCTCTGCTGAAACAAAAAATGTTCAAAGCCACCAAACCAAGTAATTCTGGGATTTAATGAGACTCCCAGGTGTATAAAGCAGGATTTACCTTTCTGCTAATCTTAGCTCATCATGGCCACATAAAACAGGAACCAAGGAAGCTCAGGAGAATGGCCCCAGCTACAGAAAAGGTGAGGGTGATGGTGGTAAAGACGCGGCCCCCACCTACCTGCTCCACTCGAATCTCGATCTCCCCGTTCACCTTCTTTCCCTGGAAATACTTTGACCTGTAAAGGAGAGGAAAACATCTGTTGAGGAAGCAGGCAGATGGCATTGATCTTTTCTCTTCTTCCAAAGGCCCCATCTCTCCGAGTGCACACTGACTCTCATTCTGGACCTTCTCACTCTTTCCTCCAGCCTTGACCCCCAATTTCCCTTTTTCTTTTTTTTGGCAGAGGGGAAAGAGTGTGGATAGGAAGATTGGCGACCCAAGTTCCGGTTCTATCAACACACTTGTCCTCCCCATGTCTCGGTTTTATACTCTGTAAAAGAATGATGTTGATCACTGTGCTACATGTTTCTAAGGGTTAGTTTGAGAAATGAATGAAATAAGGAATCCCACATAAATAAATAGTGTAGTCCGCATCTATCCCCTTGTCTGTTCCTCACCCATCCAGCCAGCCATCTTTCCATCCTTCCAAGACTTTCTTCTACATCTCTGCCTCTGTCTTCCCTGTTATCAGTAAATATCGGTAACATCCCCATCTACCCATCACTCAAGGTAGAAATGTGGCCTAGACGTCATCCTAGTTAGCTCTCTCTCTCTCTCTCTCTACTCCCAATGAGTCTATAATTATTTCTCAACTCCAACTACTTGCCCGTTTTTCTGCATAAGCACCCTAATCCTGCCTCATGCTCCATCTCTTCCCTGACTATAGATTCCCTTTTCATACGACTCATCACAACTATAATGAATGATAATTAGTAACTGCATTTAATGGGCTGTGCACCATTAAACCATAAGCCAGTTCCTTGAGGGTAGGAACGTTCTATCTTACTCAGCCTCCTCTTCCCGACATTCACCGGAGCATTTTACACACTAGAGGGTTTAACCTACAGCCTTTCTCATTCATGTTCACAACCACCAGCAGCAAGTAGCTGTATCGCTATTTCCATCGTATAGATGAAGACACTGAAATCCAAAGACGCTAAGTAGCCAAGACTTCCACATTTGTGCTTTTGCTCAAGTCTGAAAAACAGCAGCTACATCTGGGGTGCTTGTGGGCTTAGTTATGTTCCCACACAGAAAGCCAAAGGAAAAATTTCCATCTGCTCTTTTTGACTGTTAGTATGATGAAACTAGTTGTTGTTAGTCACTTACTGTAAACTGTAATGGCACTGTGTCACCATTTCTGTAACCCCTTTCTGGGACAGATAGCTTTTTGCTTCCCAGTGCCCATTCTCAACTTTTTTTTTTTCCAGAAAGAGAATATATAGACAGACACACAAGAAGGTCCCCCTCAACTCTCGCATGAGGTGGGTGTAGCCACACGATTGAGTGCTAATCAATGATTTGTGAGCACCACGGTCGAGAGCCTTAGTTTCTTCTTCGGTTTCTCCCTGGAAGATGGACGTTGCCGCCTCTTTTTTCCAACCTTCCATTTGCAGAAGAATCTTTCTACAAATTCTCCGACTGCTTTAGCTGCCTCCTTGCAAAGCCTACTTACAGAGTGGACTCATCCCTTCTCAGGGCTGCCTGAATCACTGGCTGACAGCTCTGATATTAATGCCACTTTTTCTCACAATGCTGTTGGGCTTAGATGTCAACTAGGCAGGACTGTGGTGAGACAGGAAATATCAGTGTGACTTGAAAGCAAGGTTTTGGGGTTTTCTTCCCAGCAATGGTCTTCAATAAAACGCCTGTGGGGGCAAGCCTCATGCAAAGAGAGCCATTTCACACAGTTTGTGAATTTTATCACAAATCCTTTAAATATACCTTCAGCAAATTCCAGACAGGTCCCCTGCTAGTATGTGTGGCGCTTGACACAAAACAAGTAGAAGACTAACGTGTCGTAGGTCTAATATTCAAATTGATAACTAAAGCTAGCAAACATTTAAATTAAACATGTCTGCCTTCCTTCCTTGACAAATACGACTTCATAATGACCTCGAAGGCTCAGAATTTAGACTTAATATTCTTGGCGTAATACCCAGAACGCTCCAGCAAAGGGATTGCCAGCCCTTGGTTCCCAGCCCTTGCCACATGTGGTTCTCCCCAATCTTCCACCCACCCTCCTCTCTGGTCTGCATCACTGAGGATCCTGAGGTTTGTCGATAGCCAGACCATGTGGACAGATGTCATCCACTCCTCCCCCCTCCCAAAACAGTTGTCCCTTGGTCATCTCTTGGACAATGGACCAGGGAATTAGCCTGTATTGGCCCTGGAATTGGGCTGATATCACTTTAGGTAGGGAATTCTAGGGTTTGGTAACCCAGAGAGGGGTCCAAGAGTGCAATTTGCAGGCTCCTGGTAGGTATATCTCCTTGGCTCTGGTAACTCCTCTGCTTGTCAAGAGAGGTGTTGCTAGCTGCTAACAAGGCCCAGAGTAGGATATAAGTAAAAGGTCTTTCTTACTTGAGTTTAAAAGAAGTCCTGAGCAGGCCTAGAACCTCAGGATGAAAACTCAGGATTATAATCACTGGCATACCAGAAGAAAACATGGATTTGGAATCACACAGGCTTAGGCAAAATCTTAGCCCTACTAATCACGGATCATGTGTCCTAAGGCAAAGTACTTAACCCGCTGGATCTCAGTTTTCCTATTTGTCAAGTGATAATAGCACCTACTAGGGAAAGGCTGGGGTGAGAACTTTACTTCACCTTCTATACAACAGGGCAGTAGGGTCCAGTGGACTCAGGAATTAAATGAAGCAAGATGCTTAAAACAGTTCCTGGCCCAGAGCAAGCTCTGATGCACATGTATGTTGCCCGGGCCCTGAAACAGAATCTATGGACAACTACTGAGTGTTTTCTCTGCGCCTGCTGGGTGCCAGGTAATGGGAACCTGCAAACAGAAAGGTAATCCTGCCTCTTGGACACTATAAGACACAATTATGATTCACCTTGCTTGGATCTTTCCCCGAAGTGTGATGAGTGATGGATGGTAATGGCCATAATAAAGAGGTGGCATTGCTAGGTAAGGCCGCCAGCCCCCTCAGCATCCCTCCCCATGTGGTCCAGATGCAGAAGTCTCTGCTCAAAGTCACATGACCTCTAAGTACTCTCATACTTTAAGATTTTCTGGATTCAGTAACACCCTAACCCTCCATGATCTGAACCCTGCTGACTGGTGGTCCCCATCTACTTCATGGACATACCCAACACCCTGTCCTTTTATGCTGCTGTGCCTTTGCCCTCCCCACCCCCCACCCCCCCATTCCTCACTGCTCTGGTGGCCTTCTGCTCTTCTTTATCTGGCCACCTCTTTCTTACATGCCGTGATCCACACAAGTGACACCTACTCTGTGAAGTCTTCCTGAACAGCACCTCTGTCCGGCTGGGCTAGTTGTCCCTCCTCTGCTCCTGCAGCAGGCCGTCCCTACCACTATCATAACACTCATGCCTCCACACTGTAATTACATATCTCTGCTCTGTCCCCTGTCCCCAAATATCTAGTCTGTAAGCTTCTGGAAACCAGAAACTGAGGCTCAGGGCTCACTGTATCTCCAGCATCCAGCACGATGAGCTAGGACACAGGACACATGTTTAGCAAATGTTCGTTGACGGGTAAAGGGATAGTATCTTCCAGGGACAAACTGGATGGTTGCCTTTCCTGGAGACGCTTTACTGCCATCTACTGGCATGCCATTGTAATAAATTCACACATCTACACAGATCACTTCGTGGGGTCACTGCGTACAGTGTCCAATCTGCACGACAGATTGGACAGATCTCAACCGGAACCCCAGGTACTTTGAGCTACCCCAATACCACCCACACAGCTATGGCCTCGACGGGACCTCATCTTCCCAGGAGAGACGCTTGTTTGCCCATCTCTGGAATGTTTACTGCAGGGCCTGGCAGATGGAGTTGAGCTGAAGCTGAGGGTCAGTCGGTCCATCCCCCTGCCTGGCTGGGAGTCAGAAGTCTGTCTCCTGATGGGCCACACAGACTGCTGCCTCCTTGCCGGGGGTGGGGTTCATTCAGACTTGCGCTGCCTCTGAACAGCTCTGTCTGGCAGAGGGAAGGGTAGGGATGGTCTGGAATTCTAGATGCCTTTGGGGGCTGGGGTTGCTGCCTCCGTAATTGACTGGCTGTTTGACCTCAGGCAAAATGGATGGACGTGTTATGCTCAAGGGCTTTGTCTCCCATGAGCTGCCTCCTCCTAATGCCCTAATATGTTCATTCTCATACCGAGCTCCCTGAATACCTCAGCCAATCAATCAAGTCCTTGGCCTTGGGAAGAAGGTGGGGGAAGCTCTGGACTCCATGACGATTCCATCTCTGTGGGTGGTCTCATATTTTAATGCCGCATCTGAGGCACCAGGAAGGAGAATATTATAAAACCGGTACTGCCTGGGGTGGAGAGTCTCTAATTTGGGGAGGCGGGGGGTGGGGATGTGTAAGAGGGTAACGGGCACCGAGTACTTTCGTGTCTGCCGCAGAGGCAGGAGAAAGAAGAGAATTAGCACCAACAGGATCCGCCTGTGTCCAAACAGTGACTCCTTGTCCCCGTCCAGGGATCTGTAGAGGTAAGGAACTGAGACACCACCCCAGGGCCCTGATCCACAGGACGTGACGAATGTCCCCCACCCTGTTTGCCTCTGACACTAATTCAGGAAAGGGATTTTTGTAGGCAGGATCTGGTCTCACTTCCCATCACTCCTGCACTCCTTCATTCAACCACTGTTTACGGAGCTTCCCATGGACCAGGTACCCTCTGAGGCAAAGGGGTAGAAATAGCAGGTATGGTGGCAGATATCATGCCTGGGCTTGTGGAGCTCACACACTCATGAAGAAGACAAAAAATAAACAGGATAGAAAGAATGAGATCTGTAAGTAAATACACAGGGTAAGCTGGGGGGTGCAGGGAAAATTGGACTTAGGGTGGCCAGGAAGGCATCTTTGAAAGACACTTAGCATACACGGATTAGAGACCTACTGCATGTCCACGCCTGCAGGGTCCCAGGAAACAAGCATGAAGACAACACAGTTTTTGGTCTCACGGTCTTACTAACAGCAGGGACAAAAATGGACAATGGCCATACAAAGCATTAGTACAGAGAT